CCAATAGCCCCATCTGAGACTCACTGGCAGACCTGCTTCCTTTCAAAATCCGTGTTCCAAGGTTGGCCTTGGGCCTGTAATCCTCACCCAGTCAGGACTTCCTCAAAAAGCTCTCAGGAAGAAAGTCATCTGTGTTTGTGTTGGGTACAGAATATTCAAGTCCAACCTCAAAGTAGCCAACGAGAAATAGAGTTATACAGCACGATCGGTGCGACCATGGAGGGGGGTGGAGTTTGCTGTTCCTCCCTGGCGTCGGTACTGGGATCCCGGGCACTACCCGGAACACGTCCCTTTCACTTGCGAGTGTTGGGCAGTCGCCTCTGCTGCTGCTCTGGGAGAGGGAGGGGCTTTGGTGCAGGGTGCTCCCCCGTTGTTTCTGCTCGGCCCACTGTGTCCCACAATCCTACAAACCACTTCAGACTCATCTGCTAAACTTTCCTTCCCGACCGTTAATACTGCTGCTGTGTCAGCAGTTCTTCATCTGGTGTAGGTAGTTTATCCTGTGTTATTAGGCAGTAAGGGACTTATTTGGGGGCAGCTTGGCTCCCCAGTAATACAGTAGCAGAGAGTAAACGGAACATACGGGTTGAGTATAGTTTTAGTCACTATGTTAACTTTTAATAAGAGTGTCCATGAACAATTGTTAATGTGAAAATAGTTTCACTTCTTGAGGCTGGAATATTTGGAGGGGGGGATCTTTTTAATGTAAATTTTAAATTTTAAATTGTATGGAAGAGTGTAGAGTAAATTGGCTGAGGTTTTATACTACCTTAAATACAGGATGGTGACAACTTGCTAGGTTTCTTACACATTATTTGTGACTGTTCCAACTTATAATGGTTTATAGTGGTAACAGGAAATAAAGTAACTGGATTTTCAGGCTATGTAATTTGTTTGGGCCCCAAGAAGTTGCATTTTAACACAGTGTTTTAAATTCTATGGTTCCACCATAAATCAAATGGCAGTAGTTTTAGTTTTAGCAAGAATTGGAGCCCTGACTGGTGTGGCTCGGTTGGTTGGGTGGCGTCCTGTGCACCAAAAGGTTGCTGGTTCTGTTCCCAGTCAGGACACGTGCCCAGTGGGGGCTTGATCCCCAGTAGCGGGGCGTGCAGGAGGCAGCGATGAATGTTTCTCACATCGATGTTTCTCTCTCTCCCTCTCTCCTAAAAAATCAATAGAAATATATTTTTAAAAGAATTGGAAGGACACTGTTCAGAGTGGATTTTGAACAGCTCTGGAGGCAGGACAATTTTCCGGTTGTTTTATGTTTTATTTAATTTGTGCTGTCCTCAATGAAAGCGTTATTGGAACCTGTATGGAAAGAGATTTGCAGTCTTCAAAGTTCCGAGAGGTTGGCTGTGGTTCATAATGCTGGGAGGGTAATTCACAAAGCAGATGTCATTCTACATGAACGCAGTTTCCAGGAGAGTCACACAGCAAAGCGTGACTGAGGCAGCCTGGCCATGTGTTTTCAGGGCAGGATGCAGTTGGCATCGGAGGCCCGAGAGCTGTGGGCTCTCTCCACCCTGTACGTGTGACACTGCTCTGCCCGTCCTACCAGTAACGTTGAAAAACCCTAGTGAGGGGTGATTTCACCTGCATGTAACCGAAGTCCAGCCCAGCTGCTTACCAGGCGGAGGCTTATTTTCCTCAGTCAGAAGTGGTGTGGAGGCAGGCTGTGCAGAGCCGGTCCTGGGTGCCTGCTGTCCTGCTCCGCCCTTCTGAGGGTCCACCTGGTGGAGGGTCCACCTTCCCTCCCCACTGCTTCAAGGTGGCTCTTTGCCTCAAGAGAATGGAGTGGCAGAGCCGAAGTGGCACCTGTGTCAGGAGAGCAGAACTTAGAAACCCCAGCAGACGCTATGTGCCTCTCACTGGCTACAGCTGAGATACCTGTGAGCCTCTTTGCAACGGAGACTAAGCAAAACCATTTTTATATTGGGCACATTGCCTTTTCCAGATGGGGTTTATTTTATTTATTATTATTTCTGTGATTTTTGAGAGTACGTTTGTTAAAGCTGGGACAGTGAAACAAGGAAGGGCCTAGGATAGAAGCAGCAGCAGGAGAGAGCCTAGGCGGGGCGGCTTCGGCTCCCTAGAACCATCATGGGAAAGAAGTGAGGCGAGGCTGTTGGCAGCTCACTGGAGAGTCAGAGAAAAAGGGGCCTTGGGGACAGGTTCAGGGGCTGAGCCTGGGATGAGTTGCCACTGCCCATTGCTCCCCAGGTTGCAAGTCTGGTGGAGACTCTTCGAGTTTAGGAGATGCAGGTCTGTGGGGGAAGGAGGGAGAGGGAAAGGCCAGACTTGCTCCTGGGAGGAAGAGCACCTGGGGTTTTGTATTTAAGGAAAAAAGGGAGAGAGGAAATTGGGTGATCAATGACCAGAAGTAGTGTGCACCTTAGTAATCAATGGAATGTCCGAAAGGCTCCAGATCTGTGGCACTTTATTCTGAACGCTCTGTATCACCAGCTTAAGTGTAGTGCGTGTGGATCCATCCCCAGGAGACTCCCCCAGGCTGCCGTCAGCTTGTCAGTCTGCTTCAAATGATGATTTCCCTATTTATTTGTATTTGCTTTTACAGATCCGTTTTGGCAAATGGATTTAGATCGACTTTCACAGTCCAGTAAATGTCCTTCTTAAACACTGTTGTGCTTTTCCCTTGGAACCCACCCTTCCTGTGCTGCTGCGTTTTGACTGACACTTTTACATTTCACACAGGTGACATTCTTGAATTTCACGGTCCAGAGGGAACAGGAAAGACAGAAATGCTTTACCATTTAACAGCACGGTGCATCCTCCCCCGGTCGGCAGGGGGCCTGGAGGTAGAAGTCCTGTTTATTGACACGGACTCCCACTTCGACCTGCTCCGGCTCGTTACCATTCTCGAGCACAGACTGCCCCAGAGCTCTGAAGAGAGAGTGAAAGGCTGCCTCGCCAGGCTTTTCTTGGTGCACTGCAGCAGCAGCAGCCAGTTGCTGCTCACGCTCCACTCCCTGGAAACCGTGTTCTGTAGGCGCCCCTCCCTCTGCCTTTTGATTTTGGACAGCTTGTCGGCTTTCTACTGGATAGACCGAGCCAACGGCGGAGACAGCGTCACCTCACAGGAGTCTACCCTGAAGAAGTGTGCTCAGCTCCTAGAGAAGCTGGTGAACCAGCACCGCTTGGTTCTCTTTGCAACCACACAGAGTTTAATGCAGAGAGCCCCGAGCTCCACGGGGGGCCCCTCTGCCTCCAGCCGCCCGAGCGAGGCGGGCGTGGAGTACAGGCCCTACCTCTGTCAGGCCTGGCAGCGGCTGGTGGGGCAAAGGCTGTTCTTCTCCAAAGACGAGTCCAACACCAGTCACCAGTTTTCTTTAGTCTCACGGAACTTAAAAAGCAACACTTTAAAAAAGCATGTTTTTATTATTGGAGAAAGCGGGGTTGAGTTTTGTTGATATGTATCAAAATAGTCTTACAGGATATTACCCAAGTTTTAAAAAGTCTTTAAATAGGCTAAAGTCTTTAATAGGATTCAGTTCTGAAGTTTTAAACTCTAAGGGAATTAACATGACAGTGTTTCTACACAGAATGGACTTCTTAAAACAGACGGTGACTCTCAGAATACTCTGTCCCCAGGTCGTTCAGGGTTACTCAAAGTGACTTTAACAATTAAACTATATATTAAGTTTGTTTTAAAACTAAATTAAAATACACATTTCAATGTAAATAAAATGGACTTTTGTAACTTTGTGTCCCATTTCTGGAACTCATTGAAGTCCTTACATATTTAGGAAAGTTTAAATGCACTTCTGATGTCTCACATGTGACCCTTTAGGAAGCCTTGATTTTGGGGAGTGATTCTGTAGAGCTGTTGTTTCTGTGAAAACAGGGAGTCCACCCATCCGCCGTCCACACCGAGAGCTATGGAAAGGCCAAGCATTTAACCTGAGTTAGTTACACAGATTCCAGGGGGAGCTGGACTACAGCTGGGCTTCCGCATGATCTTTTAAACACACAGAATTGCGATGCCCCCTCGGAGTCCTGTGAAGAGGGTTTTGAAATTTTCATCTCCTCATCGCGCGATAGATGCTAAACTGCATTCGGGCTGTGTGTTGCTAGTCTTTTCCTGCCCACTTAGCCTAGCCCACATACGCCCTGAAGTGAACCGAGGGGTTTCCAGCCGAGAGCCGGGTGAGGCTCTGTGTGCTCTAGTCGAGGGGCGTGGGCGGTGCTGTGGTGCAGTAGAGCAGGGACATTTTAGAACTTCTCTTTACACATTGTAACCCAAGAAAAGGTGACCTTATGTCAGCATTTAATACTCAGATCAATCCTGGCACTCATACAATCTGTGCGTCAGATTGTCTTAAGTCGCATACGTATCTGGGGTGTCTTGTGGGACACGTAGAAAGAAGTGACAGTATTTAGTTACAACTATCAACTGTAACTTTGCTAACCTAACAGAGATTAGACAGAGAATCCTGGGAAGAAACCATGACTGATGCTGATGTTTCCCCTGATGGAGGGAAGCAGATGTGGAATCTGCGGTCTAGGCCCAGCCAGGCACCGGGACTCCTCTAGTCACCTGCAGTTCACAGAACCTGAGGACTTCTGCAGGTGTCGTCTGGATGCCAGAGCCTGCTGGGCTGCAGGTGGGCTGGGCTGGGCTGGGCTGGGCGGTCCCTAACCTCGAGGGTCAGGATTTGGCCTGTAAATAGGTTACCCCTCAGTGAGGGGCACCTGTTTCTCAGGGCAGCCCCCATAGGACTGATTCCCAGTTGCTTAAAGCAATAGCTTGTTCATTAACACTGTTTATTACCTTCCATCCTTCTCCCTGACTTCCCCGCTCTCTCCAGGAGCCTCCTGGGACTGTTTCCCTAATGAGTGACAAATCCCCCCCCAGGAATTATTTTTGTTGCAGGGTGGGGGACACCAAACTGTCAGCACATCATAAAAGTCAGCAGCCCAATGGCCGCTCTAGGCCCAGCGTCTGCTCTTTAGCCACACGGTGAAATTAACAAGGAGAGCAGCCTACTCGGTAATCAGGTTAAATTACGTTGGGTCCTGTCACTGCCATTCACATCCACACACAGGTCTGCCCTCAATAAATGTCATTTCGGCCCTGGCAGGCGGACTCAGTGGTTAGAGCCTCGGCCCGTGCACAGAAGGGTCACGGGTTCGATTCCCAGTTAAGGGGCACGTACCTGGGTTGCTGGTCCCCCCACCCACTCCCTTCGGGCTGCGTGCAGGAGGCAACCAGTCTACGTGTCTCTCTCGATGTTTGTCTCTCTCTTCCCTCACCCTGGGATGTTTTTCCCACTCTCTCTAAAGTCAGTGGGGAAAATATCCTAGGGTGAGAATCAACAACAACAACAAAATTTAGTAATGTTGTTTTGCCATTAATATAATTTCAAATATTTTAAGGTATTACATATTTTATCCGCAGTTCGTCATCTTTCAAGTTACATTTTTGTGCATTTTGTGACATATAATACGTTGTCACACATAAGTAATTTGTAAATATTTGTTTGGGGGAATGTGCTTATTTTTTCAAACCCTGCTAAGAGTGTGTGATCATTAAGATTGAGAATCTTTTGCTCTGTTCTAGACTACTTCTCCTTTCAGCTGTTAAGAAAAGATATGGCAATTCATTTTCCTTCCTTATCAAGCTTTGTGCGTGTGTGTGTGTGTGTGTGTGTTAAAGATGTATTTGAAAAAGTTTGCAACTCTTAGAATTCTAGCCTTGCACATGACAGGATTTTCCATTTCTCCCCTGTATAAATGAAGTGTTAATTTAATGAACTGTTATTCACAGATTTATAACTTATTCTTTGGGAACATGATTAAAAAATAATGAACTTTTATATTAGCTTAAATTATCAATTATATATGAATGTGTCAGACCAAAGACGTAGTTATCTTTAAAAGATTTGATATCCGGCATGCTGGAAGGAATTAAGAATCCTGGTTAATAAAAAATTCTCTTAAACTAAAAGTTATACCAATGGGATTTCTTGAACACTATAGGAATTTTAAAACTAAAAAGAGGCAAGATTAAGAAGGAAGAGCTTGAATGGCACAACCTTAGTTACATAGGTGCAGATACCAGGCGTGCGCTAGAGCCGAGAGGGTAATGAGGATGAGTGCTTACAGATCTTAGAAAAGTTAACTGACTTGCCTATAAAAAAGTAAAAATGGCCCAGTAGGCGTGGTCAGCGGTTGAGCGTCGACCCAGGTACCAGGAGGTCACAGTTTGATTCCGTCAGGGCACATGCCCGGGTTGCAGGCTTGATCCCCAGTCGGGGGCGTGCAGGAGGCAGCTGATCAATGACTCTCTCTTCATTGATGTTACTGTCTCTCCCTCTCCCTTCCTCTCTCTGAAATCAATAAAAACATATTTTAAAAAGAGAAAAATGAGTACCATAAAATACTTTTCTTAAAGGTGAACTCAGGCTAATTTTGAGAATGTAGTCGAAAGATACATATAAAAGATATTTCAGACACTCATCTGAGAAATGCTGTGCAAAACGAAGACAGTACTTATCACTGCCTTTGTGTGTATAGAATTGTTAGCTTTCAACCATCAAAAGCTCTGTTATTAATATCACTCAAAAAATTTTGTCTCAGGCCACTCTACTAAGTGGATTATCTAAGAATAAGGGTAAAATAAAGACATTTTCAGATGGAAAAAAAAAAGAATTTATCACCAAAATTGCCTTACATTTAAAGGAACTTCTAAAAGATATACTTCAAGGAGGAGGAACATTATCCCAGAAGGTCTGAGATGTAAGAAGCAGTAGTGAGTAAAGAAAACAGTAAGCAGCCCTGGCCGGTGTGCTCAGCGGTTAGAGCGTCAGCCTGGGCACCAGTCGGGGTGTCTCTCTCACATCGATGTTTCTCCCCCCCTTCCTCTCTCTCTGAAAAGCAATAGAAAAAATATCCTTTGGTGAGGATTTAAAAAAAGGAAAGTGTACATTTCTAAATAATAGGTAAACCATATTTGAAATTAGAAAATACTAACATACAACTTACAGAAACCGAATAAACTCAGAGGACATGGAAAAACAGTAGAAAGTAATGAAATTGAAAACAGGCGCAAGAGAACCAAAATCACCAAGAGAAAAGAGCACAGATAAGCAGTTTTAGGAATGACCAAGAGGACATAACTACAAATGGAGCAGAGATTTATTTTTATTTATTTTTGTTATTTTTTTTAAATGTGTTTTTATTAATTTTAAAGAGAGGAAGGGAGAGGGAGAGAGAGAGAAACATCAATGAGAGAGTCANTAAATGTGTTTTTATTAATTTTAAAGAGAGGAAGGGAGAGGGAGAGGGAGAGAAACAACAATGAGAGAGTCACTGACCGGCTGCCTCCTGCACGCCCCCTGCTGGGGATCGAGCCAGAAACCGGGGCCTGTGCCCCGACCGGGAATCGAACCAGTGACCTCCTGGTTCATGAGATGATGCTCAACCTCTGAGTCACACCGGCCGGGCCAGAGATTTATTTTTAGAATATTAAACTTTANCCAGTGACCTCCTGGTTCATGAGTTGATGCTCAACCTCTGAGTCACACCGGCCGGGCCAGAGATTTATTTTTAGAATATTAAACTTTATATCAGTAAATGTGAAAACTGAGACAAGGGACACATCTTACCAAAATCTTAAAAAAAAACAACCCAAAAAGCAAAAGAAAGGAAGAAAACTGAAGACTGCTGTAATCATCACAGGACTTGGTTCAGTCATTTGAACTCTCCCCACACTCATTTAGGGGACTTCCAGTAATAACAGAATATGGAATTTAGACAAACGCACCTGCTCAAAGTAAAAACAGAAATTGGATACAATACAAACGCGCATTTAAAGCGTCCGAGAGCCGACCAGCTCGTGAAGGATCACTCGGTCAAGGCCCAGAGAGAAGGGAAACCCAGAGGTCAGTTGTAGCAGCTGAGAGTGGACCGTGCTTTCCTTGCTGTCACTGTTGGGAAACCTTAGTAACCACAGCCCAGTGTCACTGGGACCTGAATGGGGCTGCCCTGGACAGATGGTGGAAAGGAAATCAACCAGCCCCGGCACAGACTGCAGGGCGGCCTCATTATGTGGGTCGGTGGGTGGGTCAAAAAAATCACAAGCCTTAGAAAATTTTTTAAATGTATTTAACATTAAAAACGCTGGCCGGGCAATGTCATCTATTTTTTAAAAATCCACTCCATTGGTTAAAGACATACATGTTGCCCGGCCGGGTGTGGCTCAGCGGTTAAGCGTCGACCTAGGATCCGGGCGATCGGGGTTCGATTCCCGGTCAGGGCACATGCCCGGGTTGCAGGCTCCATCAGTGATTCTCTCATCATTGATGTTTCTATTTCTCTCTCCCTCTCCCTTCCTCTCTCTGAAATCAATAAAGATATATTTAAAAAAAATAAAAAAATAAAGACATACATGTTAAAGCAAAGCGTTAAAAACTTTAAAAGACTCTACCTGAGAATAAATTTGGGTTTGGGGTTAGGGGAGTATTTCAAACACAAAGAGAATAATTGTAATGGAAAAAACATGACTTTGACTACATTAAAACTTTGAATTTTTATTTATCAAAAGGTAATGTTAAACAAAGTGAAAAGATAAGTTACAAACTGCAAGTACATTTGCAGTTCATGCGAACAAATTAATACCCCAAACAAACTACATATAATTATATATGATGTGTATGTGTATATTTATGTGTATATACAGGGTGTCCCCAAAAACGTGTA